TAAGAAAATGATGTAAGAAAATTCCCTTTATCAAAATCTCGTCTCAAGAATGGCACAATCGAAAGTAGTAGTAAAGTAGTTGACTCCTGGAATACCATCAACATTTCGAAAAGAGTGTGCATGGTCTGCTTCGCTAGCGACACGCTATATAATTGTATGTGTTTCACCTCAATTCACTGTTTCTACACATCTACTACCGTTTTTTTAGATGATAAATAAGTTGTTGAACGTCGTCCATCATATACAGTTATTTTGTAATCCCCCATTGAACCAGTATTTTAAACTCAAGCTCAGTGATTTATGTTTCTGGTATGATTCATTTACTACTACTGTCTGTATCTTCATCTATTACCTTTTACTTCTAGTGATAAATAGACCCACATCATCTACCAACATCAAACACAATCGTGAAGTCAGTAAGTTAGTAAGTTGGTACTCAAGGTTGAAGGACTCCTGTAATAAATGATCAGTCCAGATGAAAATGGGTTTTGAATATGTGATTTTTTCTAAATATTCCAGCCCACCCAGCTGTTAATGGGTACAGAATTAGTAATTAGTGATCTGTCATGGTTTTGAGGAATGGTGTATTATACATTGTCTTAGTGCTGATAGAAATTAAGTCGATATTCATCTTCATTTGCTACTTTGTTATCCTAGTAGAAAAATATGTTTGGGAAAGAAGCAAACAGTCGGCATTGACAGAAATAACCACATTGTTTCAATGGGCATCAAGAACATAAGATGATTCATATCTGAAGTTGTGGTACAAGTTTAGAACCGTGGCGGCGCCAGTGGGAGTACAAATTACAAATTGGTTTTTATAAGTTTTTGGACCACAAAATAAGTGTCAGACCGCACAATATCCTTTGGAGAATCCTTGCGTCAACGCCTCCACAGAATTTTTGAATTTTGATTTGATTTTCGACAGTAGAAGTCTCAATGAGTCAGTCTGCCCTCAGTTTCGAGAGGCTTGCGCCGCGACCGCAAAAAATAATCTTCTATAGGTGGAAACTGTGTATCATTTTGTAGTTTCATTGAAATCGTCACTTAGACACGATACAATAGGTTGCTTACTGTATTCTGAAAGTTGTGTAAAAATAATAACATCGACAGACAACGTGCGCCAGGAACGTTGTACTGTACTTACAACATCTATATGTCACACGACTTTTAGTGCATGTATATTGAGAGTGCAAAACGCACATGTTTCTATTAATAGGTTTTATTCTCTGGAGGCAATGTATATAAGGAGTGCAAGAATGTAATAATGAGTTAAGTTAAGAGATTGTTACTTGTTCACCTAGCTTCTAGTGCTTACACCTGTATCTGACATTCTCTTTCTACCATTACTTCAAATAAACTTACTGAAATAAACTATATCATACCATCATTCAATGGGGAATACAATAGGATAGATTGGAGTTTTACGCTGCATGGTGTCATTGACGTGAATTAACTACTATTGAAATAAAGACATATGAAAATGTCGGTTTTATGTCCTACTGATCTTTATCTGATTGGACTTTGTAATGTTGTCTGAGGTTCTGATTTGAATTGAAGGTAGGTAACATCACATAGAAAACAATGCAGGAAATAAAAAAACCTGATTAATAATTAATATTATCATAACAATATTATCATCCAATAGTTGTTCTTATTTCTGTAAGTTTTTGAAATATACCAAATAAATTGAAAATAAACATTTTATCTTTGAGAAGTCTTTGAAAGCGACGTCTAGTGTATGATTATCTTACAGTTTCAATATTTCTGACAGATCTATGACTGTTTACCAAGTTACTGGTATTAATCTGAGAGAGATTAGAGTCAGTATCTACTACAGTAAAATATTAACAACATGCAGTTCACTGAGAACAATAATCTGGTAAACACAATCTTTGTTTTATTCAGAAAATATGCTGTATGAATACACTGACCATCTGTACAGCAGAGAGAATATCCCAAGAACTTGGTTGTTACAGATTAACTGGGTTCATTGTGTGGGTGAGGTCGTACAGGTCGGATCAGTAATCAAACTCCTGTGACATTTGTACTGGGAGGGTGGGACTGAGAGAGGGCATGCAAAATGTTAGGCCTAACACTCTCAAATTTTGATAGGGCATGAATCCCTGACAACAATAATGTGAACATTAACACCTTAAGATTCATAGAAACACAGCAACCTTTCGGAGAGAACAAGACTTGTGTTCAGTTACAATCATTAAATGGAGAGTAATTTTACTTGAAAGATCTACATAGAAATATTAAAATAGAACCTAAAAAAACAATGGAGAGTAGTGGAACGTTAACACCTTTTCATCTCGCTTCCAATGTTGTAATATGTAAACTGGAGTTGGTGGTATTGACTTCTGTAATATCTTTCCCTTTAAAAAGTCGTGATATTTTTTAATGGAAGGGAACTAACTCTAGCTAAAGATGTTTTATAAGCCCATATTAAACTTACTTGTCCAGTACCTCAAATTAAAAAAGATTTGGCATTCTGCAATTTTAGTCTTAAAATAAATCTAATAATTTTGACTCAGACAAAAAAAAAACTTTTTGTAATTAGAATTTCATAGTCCAAAGAAACTTTTTCTGTTATTGCAGAATCCAGGACGAATTTTAATTCTGAAAGAGATACAGAGCTAACGATTTGTCTTATTAACTACACCGCGTTTAGCTGTCCATTTTAATAAATCTGTTTTCATAAAACGACGTCTTCCCTTTAGTCATGCTATAACTCATCCATTGGTAAAACGAGAAAATCGTTACGAAGGATATTTTGATGAAATTTGTTTTCCACTTCAAGGGACGTAACTCATGTGTTGAATTATTAGGACTTACTCGAATAATTCATTTGCCATTATCAACGCATTTGAATTTTTATGCAAGTTTGAATTTCGTGTTTAAACATGACAGATTACAATTGAATTGATGGTTTGAATCCATATTATCTAGACTGTGACGTGTTTTTTTATTCAGTTAGTATTAAATTAGAGAAGTGGAGAAGAAAGTGATATCGTACTGGTTGTAATATATGTTTCTCTTATTGGTTTATCTAGTACTGACTGTGGATAAATGAACGAGGGTCAATTATTCCCGACTTTAACCAAATTATAGACGCAGCAAATTAGTGTAGTACATCTTTTCTTAACTTTTATGATCAGTTCCCTCCCTTGATCTGTTTGAATTAGATAAAAATATTTTCATCAGTTACCTCCCTTGAGCTATTAACAGTCGCCCCAAGTTTTTACCTTCCTATTTGTAGTATTTGTAGTGTATGTTGAGCACCTGATACCACTTTTCATTATGAAATACGTATTCACTTATCATTGATATACTTCCTCATTAGAAAAGTTCATTAGCTGCTAACAATGTTTCGCCAAATGTTGTTTTGGATTTGGGATCTCGTTTAGCTGTTCGGATTGTTAGTAGTTGGTTTATTTATAGTCTACGCGTCCTGATAAAACATTCCTTTATTGCACTCCCCACAGGACAGTAACTCGTCTGCTCTGTTATAGAATATTATATTGTTAAATACCAGGTAGATTATTTAAAGGCCATGCTCTTGATAGTGTTCCAATCACGTGCCTGTGCTTGAATCCCCTTATACACTTAGGACAAATCATTGGCTCCAGTCCTTTGGGTGTGTTGGTGTTTTATTATAGTAAATGGCGAGGTTGTCTTGTACCTACTAGATAGAGAGTCTACAGACCTACCTATATTTATTTGGTAGAAATATTATAACAGAACCTAAAACTGTTTTACTCAGAGTTTGACGCTATGCGATCTTCAGACACCTGACCTAATTTTCTATACCGCTCTACAGTTGATATATTGAGCACTATTTTCACAGTGGTATTTCTATATTGCTCTACAATTGATGTATTGAGCACTATTTTAACAGTGGTATTTCTATATTGCTCTACAATTGATGTATTGAGCACTATTTTAACAGTAGTATTTCTATATCACTCTACAATTGATGTATTGAGCACTATTTTAACAGTGGTATTTCTATACCGCTCTACAGTTGATATATTGAGCACTATTTTAACAGTGGTATTTCTATATTGCTCTACAATTGATGTATTGAGCACTATTTTAACAGTGGTATTTCTATATTGCTCTACAATTGATGTATTGAGCACTATTTTCACAGTGGTATTTCTATTTCTCTACAGTTGATGTATTGAGCACTATTTTAACAGTGGTATTTCTATATTGCTCTACAATTGATGTATTGAGCACTATTTTCACAGTGGTATTTCTATACAGCTCTACAGTTGATGTATTGAGCACTATTTTAACAGTGGTATTTCTATATTGCTCTACAATTGATGTATTGAGCACTATTTTCACAGTGGTATTTCTATACCGCTCTACAGTTGATGTATTGAGCACTATTTAAACAGTGGTACAGAGAAAATAATTGTTTTGTATATTTATTTGATATAGAGGTTTATCAGTAAATCTGAGAATATATTTGGCTGTAATTTTATAGTTTTGTCAATGTGATTGTATATCACGGGCACCATTCTGGACCATCTCAAGACTTAACACTATCCAGGAACCAAGTTAACTTAACGACCACAACATTGAAGATTTGACCGATCTGATATATTGGATTTTTGAGTTAAAATATACATTTTGCATTTTAACACATCGACATTGGTTCAGAATTGATATCTGTTTTTTGTACTGAAGACATTTGTAATTTAAAGCTTCGACACATTGAACAATTTTGGCAACCTTCCATATCTCCTCTAATAGATATTGTCCTCTTGCTGGTCTAGTTTGAAACACTATCAATTTGATCTACAATAAGAACTTAAATATAGGGCGTGAAACTTCATTTCATTTCAATTAAATTGATAAACCAAGATGGTGACCTATTAATCTAGATCTAAGATAAAATATATTGAACGTAATAACTTTAATAATAATCATTATTAAATACTGGCAATATGTAGACTTATTATTCTAAAAGTTAAAACTTAACAATGGGTTTTATAACAGAAAATATATTCCACCCAATACAAGACGAGGTTGTTCTCAATATATTAGGTAAGTAGAGGGTGGGGCCATTGTTGATTTTGTAAACCATTTGGCAGATTTGTGTAATAAAATGTTATGTTTGCAAGATTGACTATAGAATATTTTTGGCGTTTTGGCAAGTATATAGCTATGTAAATAGGCGTTACGTTTAATTACAATTCCGATCATATAGCTTTTTGGCAAAATATACTTGGGCTTGTATTCGTTTATACAATTTCTTGTCGGTTTTGTGTCACGTTAGACTTAAAAATTTATAAACTTTGCTAACGACACTGTACCAAATTTTTTTATGAATCTGATAATGACTGTAAAAATGTTCAGAGATAACACATGTCATGTTTGGCAACTTTTACCAATCTTATACTGATGAATAGTAATTGTTGAACGTGCTGTAATTCGTTATCAAGAAGCAAAGTCAAAGCCCTATTTTACCGTTTGCACCTTTCTTAAACACCTGACGCCACTCTGCGATTTAGTTTAAACTCCACGCCTTTTGAATTCCAAATACCTAATAATGTCACTTCGTATCTCCTCTCAGAGAATCTGCTAGTGTTGTATCAATACCATGATCAACTGATTGGTCTAACATGAAATGACCCTCGATGAATGTTTAACACTTGTAATGTAAATACAAAATATATTGTAGTTGAAATATTTATATACATAATTTATAACTATACTGATAGATGTTATATCAATACATTGTATATTATATTCTGACATTGTTCTGTTTGTCACATTTCTACTATCCCTTGTCCATTCATTCGACTGGCTGTCCACCTTCAACCTCTATCTTAAACATATTCATCTTATTATCAGATCATTAATTCTTACCAAGATCTCGAAAGTGATACGTCTCTTTCTCTAATTTTGTTCTTCCACATATTGATTGGTGGCTCCCGCCTCCCTAGACTTGGAAGAAAAATAGGGGACGGGCCGACTCAACTGTCGAGACTGAATTCAAATGCGGCAACTCTGTCGAGGCGTCAGAGTCGCAAACCTGTCATGGAGCGTCTGTGAGGGTTCTGCCAAATTTTTATAAACATTGAATTGATTTGGTGCATTCTGACACATATTTTGGTGTAAAAACGCCGCGATTGGCTACTTCCCATTTAATCGTCTTTTGAAAAATATCTCCAAGTATTTTCACATTCACGATGATTCTTCTATCTACCCTATTTCAGTAACGTATGGTGTAACACAGATAGTATTCTGGGTGGTTGGTGGTACGACTCTGTTTGTTGATGTGACGGGGAAACCAGACTGGATGATCAGAAACAAACTACAGCCTGGCAAGAATCAACCAGTAAATATTTACTACTATCCTAACCATCATAGTTATTTTAAATTTAATTTTGCCCGGTTCCATAATCCTTGAGGAAGACGAGAACTTCGGTCGGCTTGTTAATAGAAATCATGAGACGTTTTTACTCCTATTCTCTTCATACAGTTACAGTTGTTCAATTGAATAGGACGATATGATGAGTCATTATCGAGATAAGCACACCTGATTGATCGTTACAACTATTTACTTGACTATTTCCACTCAACTCCATTTCAATTCATTTCAGGTTGAAAAGAAGATATTATTGAAAATTTTGAAAGTTGGGCTCCGAAATCAGATACTGATCGGCTTTCCTCTCACAGCTGTTCATTATCCATTACGACAATGGCGAGGTAGTGATCTAACTTTAACCTTTCCAGACTGGACGATTCTACTTCGAGATCTGGTTTTCTGTGTTTTATTGGAGGAGATTTGTTTCTATTATTCACACAGGTAAGGACGGTTATTATTTCACATTCCGGTTGACTGATATTCTTCTCGGTCATTTTGATTTAGTTCTCGACCAATACGCTTTATCAAGGAGAAATATCTCGCGAAATGTTTTGTGTAGAAGTCGCAATTTGTAATATCTTCCCTTATCTCATTTGTAAGATTGGTTTTGGTCAATAATTGATATTAAAGGTGCGAAGATACGAGGTATGGTGCCCGGTACTGAACACATTATGTATGTAGGATTACCTAAACAGTGGAATATAGACGAAGCGAAAAGACTGTTCCTATTGTTCTGCTTGTTGGTTGCTTTTGTTGTTGTTGCTGTCTTTGTTTGGTTGTTCTTGTGTGTTGCTGTTGATGTATTTGTTGTTGTTATAATTATTGAAGGTTACTGCACCATCCCAAACTGTATAAAACCATTCACAAGATACACCACGAATGGACGGCACCGATAGGACTAGCGGCAGTGTATGCCCATCCTGCTGAGTACATCTTCTCTAATATATTACCGTTGATGCTCGGACCACTGCTTGCTGGGTCGGGGCTGGTCACTATCTGGGTATGGTTTACGGTTGCTATAACAACTACCATCAGCCACCATAGCGGTTACCATGTTCCAGGAGTTCCTGGCAATGAATTTCATGATTATCATCATTTAAAGTTAGTAGTTGTTATATTAAATATAAACAATACTAGCTAGTTATATGGGTGTTTTGTTGACAATTTCAGTAGCATAGTGTCATCGCGTGCTTCGGTGATCGGAAGGGCGAAATGGAAAAAGTCAAAATTGGAAAAAATAATAGGCAATATGTGAACTATAGAGATCATATTGGAAGACACAATTGTGTGCTCATGCTACGCCAGTGGCAGTACTGTAAAATTCGGAATTTTCCTTTCACAGTGGCAGTGAGAGTAATAATTTCGAAGGGACTTCGCCAATACTTAAGTCATAAGTTGGAAGTACCACAGGCGTCTGACTGAACATTGTGATGGTGCAAAGCTATGTTATCATAGTCGATATATATCACATAGTATAAATTAGAAAAACTTTATACAATAACTTTAATCATTTACTATTCGTTTCAGATTCCATGAAAATTTCGGTGTTTTGGGATTACTGGATTGGTTTTATCAGACAGATACAAAATATAAACAATTTAAAATACAACAGAGACGAACACAGGGTACACATACCTAAAAGGAGTTAGAAGCCGACATCAAATAGTGTGGTCACGGTTTATATTGAGACAAATCGGTTAGCCGGTTGGGATTTTAAGCCAAGCCGAGGAAAAAACATTTTAAGCAAATATACCATCGCAGCTTATAAACAACTAAAATTACAGAAGAGACGAACACAGGGTGGGCATACCTAAACAATGAAATACAAATCAGATGCACATAAAAAGATAGACATACAAAAATTCAAGTGGAAAAATTCTTGATAAGCAGAACTATTAGATGTTCTAGAGAATTTAAACCTTCCTCCTTGGTTTTCTAGTAGATTTACTCAGCTAAAAATATAACTCTTTTAATTATTAAGTCACAATATAACAATTGACTGAATATTCTCATCATTTTTTTTTAACAATCCGGGTGTCGAGCTAAAATTTCTAGAAACTCCATTGTATCAGGATCTGGAAATTATGACGTAAAACCCTAATGTATTTCATCACTTGATCACAGTTGAAAGAAACAGTCGGTTTGATAATACTGAAATCAAATGATTTGAATTGAAATAACCTTCTCGGTCTGTCTCAGCAAGTTGAATTCGGTGGCACTGGCGGAGGAGGCAAACTTTGACGTTTAATAACAGAAAGTTGTTTTCTTCTCATCCATTTATTCTCACTGGATATCGAAGGTGGTTGTTTATTATCCAAGGGAGATACAGGTGGGGGTGATATTTCCTGATCTGTTCGCGATTTTGTCAGTTTTTCTGCCAATTTTGCCATATCAGTGTCTTTTGGCGACGTTAATGTGTCACTTAAGGTTATTTTAAAATCTTGATGATTTGAAGGAGATACGCGTGTATCGTCTCGTGGTGATTTCTGAGAACTTAATGATAACACAGAATCATCAGTCACTTCGTTAACTCCAGGTATCTTTTGGGGGCATGCACCATTGTTGTCAGACAATGTAGTATTGTTGTCACTAGGGGCAGGTTGTGAGGGGTCAGGCGGAAGTGGGGGTGGGGGTAACACACTGCGCTCCATCATTGATTTTCTCCATAGTTTAGTTCTAACACTCGCTCGCTTACGATCAGTTTTACGTCTTCTAACAACACTCTCCTCGATTCGGATATATTCGTTGTCTCTGTCAGTATTCTTATTTTCCTCCTGTTTCACTAAACTTTCACCATTGTCCAAATAACTCGACGTTTTCTCCTGTGACGTTATATTATCTATATCATTGTCTATAGTGTCTGTTGTATCTTTATAATGTAAATCCATGATGTCAAATCCCCCAGCACAAAACACCGATGTCTGTCTTCAACTTGCTAAGAATTGAATTTCAATTATCAGTCCAGATTTGCAACTCGAACAATCTGTTTGTTTTGGTGAACCAGGATGAAATAAATTGGGACGTTGATATCGGAAGGTTCAGATTATCGTAATACTCTAATTACGAACTTCACACTGTTTAACGTTTCACTTCCACTACCACTGCAACCAGTTCACTGTTACACACACATTTTATTTTTCACTCTCGAACATAAAGTTGTTAACACAGATTAAATTTTTATATTATATAATTTACTGTATGTCTGTCTATATGTGGTACTTGTTTCAATGTTTAACTTCTTTGCTCATCGATGATGTTGCTGTATCTGTTACTATCGTTACTGTTGCTTTAATTAGCAAATCCTAAAATCGTTTTCTATATGTTTTAATACATAGCTTCGTCTGACTGCTGTCGTTATTAAAACTGTAATCAATGCCCTGAAACCAAATGTATGCACTTGAAATTAATTTTATATAACATAGTTTAAAAATATACTTTATAATATACTTAAAATATATAACTACACTTAATTATTACTGTGTGGGCGGACATAGAATTATTGAAATATAATACACATACAGTGTATAGTAACTAATGTATAAGTCGTAACGGTTAATCAAAAACCAAGTCAACACAGTGGCGGCGCATATACCTCACTAGAAAAATAGTTTGCACCCCCAATTGAGGCCTACTTTAGTTTTAACAATTTAAAAAACATTTTATTTTTATACGTTTTTTGCCCCAAAATATGAGTATCAAATCATTTCTCGAAAATTTTCTTTGGAAAAACCTCTCAGACGCTTCGTGAGAAGTTTACGACAAGACAGTTCCACGAAGATGCCGCATTTTAAATTCATCCTTGAAGATTGTCGCCCATTGAGTCAGTGAAGATTGTCGCCCATTGAGTCAGTGAAGATTGTCGCCCATTGAGTCAGTGAAGATTGTCCCCCATTGAGTCAGTGAAGATTGTCCCCATTGAGTCAGTGAAGATTGTCCCCATTGAGTCAGTCTGTTCCCAAAATGTACTCCCAGTCGCTGGGTTAACGAGGGACATTTTGGCAATAATTGAAGTAATGTAACAACGAACTGTATTGCATCATAGACTAACCCCAGTTCCCTATCAAAACATGTATGACAATATGCGGAATATAAGCTATTAATTTGGTGGATTGTAAAGAGGTTTTCTACAAAATTACGTGTATCGGGGACACTGATAGCATCAATTTTCATCATTATATTTGAAATCAGACGTCTGTGGTTTCTATAATTCCACTAAAACTAAGCTTTTTATTATGTTTCTATCGCAAAGGCCCTAAGATATCATTAGCAGCTTTTAAAATAGTGACGTCACGGCTTAGTTTTAGTGGAATTTCAAGAACCACAGACATCTGATTGAAAATTAGAATGATGTAAATTGATGCTATCAGTGTGACCGACACACATACATAGTTTAGAAAACCTTTTTACAATCTTAAAGTTTTAAAACAGTCAATTCTCTCTCACCTTACCTGTATATATAGTGAATCTCTGTCTGTATATTACGGTGACAGGTGCCCAGTATAATCTAATCATAAATTATAAAGTTAGTTTAGGTCTAGTGAAATGACTCACACCCTCAAACCCTTTTATAACTATTTCTATACGGTGTGTGTTTTACTGTTTAATATACACGAGTAGGGTGACTCAGGCTTGCATTAATAAAATACACCATTTTAAATAAAGAAAATATTTGGCAAATGTTTTTCGCTTTAGGAAAGCGGTGTGTCATTGGTCGACAGAAAGAGAAAAACTCAACGATTATATTCGTTGCGGATGTATTTAATATGCTCACACAACTCCTGTCGGTCATACAAATACGAGTCGTTAGACGCCTTAGAGTGAGACGAGGCGGAAAAACATGCCCATTGAAACCTATAAGCCAATAAGCGTAGCAGTATAAGGCTGCAGTGCTGCTATGTTAAAACAAGGAAATAAGATGAATGGAGTTTTACGTTCTACTTTTTGAGCTAATGAAAACGGGCAACGCCATGCATGCAGGGTACAACGAGGGAAATTTTGCCAAGACACCGGCATGTTCCTGCTCTTTTAGAATTTTCAACTGTCGAGGGATCTTTAACGTGCACAGCCTGTAGCACACGGGGCCCATCCAAACGACTGGACGCTTATTCCATGTCAGCCCCCTTACCTGCATCACTGACAGGGGGAAACCGGCTGAACTAAAATGAGAAAAGGGCATCCTGAGAGACCTTGATGAATGTAAAAAGTCGGATATTTGCCTCATTTGTCTCCATTACACATCAGTCTTGTAATATACCACTAGTTTTAATGGTTTCTTATAAAACATGTTGTAAAATATGTGAATTATTTGATAATCTATTGGTGTATATTCCCACGTGAATAAAAATAGTCTACCCTTAATCGAGTGGAATGAGGGTGTCAATTTCTGTTATATATAATCAATTACTTTACAATTACAATTACTTGTCTAATTTTCAACTCGGTTTCCCGGGAAAAAGTCTAATCGTTCGGATGGGACAATAAACCGAGGCTCCGTGTGCTACAGGCTGTGCAAGTTAAAGATCCCTCCACAGTTGGAAATATAAAAAAAGCAGGCTATTGTCGCTGTCCTGGCAATATTTCCCTCATTGCACCCTGCATGGCGTCGCCCGTCTTCATTAGCCCACAAGGTGCAGAAAAGTAGGACGTAAAACTCCATTCATTTCATTTCATTTCTAATTTTCAAAAAAAGTAAACACGAAACAGTACAAAATTGTTGATTAGTATATAATTTGGCTGGTCAGGAAATACAGAATGTTTTAATTTGTCGTTATTTATTAAATATGATTAATGAATATATGATGAGATATTAATTTCAACTAAAACCTGTTACCTTCCACTTACCAGCCGTGGGCAATATCTCGTCCTTAACGTATATAGAGTTTAATCCATATTTTAAACTAAACAACCTATTTTAGTTGAGTTTTACGTCCTTTTTTTCTACTTCTATTTAAGTTAAGATACGTTATGTATTCTGTAATGGTGGCAGTAGCGTATGGAGGAGGAGGATCATATTGCCATGGCGCCCGCCTCGGGCCTGTCAATGTGATAGATCTTATTTTAAAGTTAAAATGAAGCCCTCTAAATGATCAAAATTCATCCCGGGCTATCTGAAATCCGCTAGCTATTGTGTGGCCCATAGACTTCCGGTCTCAAGGGGCTTTGGCCCTCTCCTCCTTCATTCTCTCTATACGTTTCTGAATGATGAAAATTCGTCGTGACACTTTTAATGAATATGTTAAATGGAATATAGTGAGGTTTTGCGTTCTCTCTTTTCCTGGTTAAATAAATCAACATTAAGCAGTGTATAATGAGGGAAACTTTGTCAAGAATGTAGAGAGAATATAACGGACATGCAGCAATACACAAAAATCTGAAACTACAAGGAAGTTAACTGATTTGGCCTTTATGACAGAACGCTAAATTGAATACACACGATAATGAATAGGTGAATTGGCAAGTCTGTCCTCACAATCGTTTTCTTTCAATTACATGGTTGTATCAGTTTCGTAAACCCAAATACATGGAAATGAATAGGCCTCAAAATTTGATTCTTTGCATTTCTATCCTAATGAAACAAATTTGCATTACTAAAGTCCAACTTGACTGAAACAGCCCTTTGAAACACTCACTCATATCTTTATTTAGATATAATTAATGGCATAACAGTGAACACTCTCTATAAAATAAACCTAGAGTCAGATGACGAGTGGTGTTTCTGTTTACAGATAATAGTACAACAGTGGACTACTCTCGAGAATATAACCCAGAGTTAAATGATGTCCGGTGTTTCCGTATACAGACAATAGTACAACAGTGGACTACTCTCGAGAATATAACCCAGAGTTAGGTGATGTCCGGTGTTTCCGTATACAGACAATAGTACAACAGTGGACTACTCTCGAGAATATAACTCAGAGTTAGGTGATGTCCGGTGTTTCCGTATACAGACAATAGTACAACAGTGGACTACTCTATAGAATATAACCCAGAGTTAGGTGATGTCCGGTGTTTCCGTATACAGACAATAGTACAACAGTGGACTACTCTCGAGAATATAACCCAGAGTTAGGTGATGTCCGGTGTTTCCGTATACAGACAATAGTACAACAGTGAACCACTCTCTAGAATATAACCCAGAGTTAAATGATGTCCGGTGTTTCCGTATACAGACAATAGTACAACAGTGAACCACTCTCTAGAATATAACCCAGAGTTAGGTGATGTCCGGTGTTTCCTTATACAGACAATAGTACAACAGTGGACCACACACTATTTGTCTGGTCTTCCTATAAAAAAGATTAGTACAACGATAGCTCGCCCTCTAGAATATAACTTTCATTATGCTTCATATGTTACTAAAATTTGTAGGGGACCCTATACAGTGACCCACAAGAAGACACACAGGTTAAATATAGTCTAATAGTGATTCATTTTCAAGGATAGAACTAGAATAGAATAGGTAATGTCTGTTTCCAACTATGTAAAATATTCCACTGAAACTGTCTATAGAATATAACACAGAATGTTTCTATAAACAGACAATAGCACTGACGGTGCGGGTCTCTCAAGAATGGGGGTACATATAGGGAGGAGGCTGACTTAATGGAGAGATAACTGTCGAGGTTGAGATTTAATATGCGGCAGCTCTGTGGAGGCATCATATAGACGCAAGTCTCCTATGGAGAAAATTTTGGAAAATAGAATTTATTTGGTGCATTCTGACTAATATTGTGGGGCAAATGCTTTTACAAATGATGTTTTAGATTTGTTAGAAACGAAGTTGGGTACAATTGGGGGTACGAACCATTTACTAGGGGGTCCCTCCTGTACCCCCACAGACCAATTGTACAACAGTGCACCACATTCTAGATTAAACCATTGTACCTGTCACTGTTTTATAACCGAGAATGTAACAGTGTCTGTTTAGTTTTAAACGGTAGAGTAAATGTTAAAATTACCGATCAATAACTTCTATTCTATTTGAACATGTATGATATCCAGTGACAATATAAACAATACACCACTCAATATCTACTGTAGATTTTAATTAAACTGATATCATACCGGAAATAAACCTCTATTGGTTATACATCACCTTTTATATTAATAAACATATTATTTGTCCACTCCAGGTTGAGCTATTGGTAGCGCTATGCAGGTATACAATGCGGACAGTGTCATAAGCCTACTCTTCTATTTGTGACTGTCTATGGGTCTTTAATGTGAACTGTCTGTAGCATAAGTTGCCGCGGTTTAACAGTCAAACCCAAACGACGAGACGCGTTGTCCATGGCATTCCTCTCCGACCAACATCACTGACATGGAAAACTTTAAAACCGAATTGAAAACCAAGGCCGGATTATATAATAGGTTCAACTACATCTTCAATGTAGTAATATAACAGTTTTTGTGAAAATGAGGGAAAATGTTAAATGACAAACTAATAGAGACTTAAACCCATTCTTTAAAGGGACATTTACGCCATATTTTCGACCAATCATACTTTATTCTCAGAAACTATAATTTTTTAGCTGAGCCAATCATTAATAGTGTTCACAGCTCACCGCCGAAATTTGAGCCTTCAAATCCATGTGTGTCCAGAATTATCTGTGTTTGAATGTTAAAATGACGACAGATACTCTGTGGTATAAAGAAAAGACATATATAGAAATAGTGAGTAAAATTTCTTGAAGTATTTTTAAAGGAATTATGCGATTTTAGTACATTTCCAGTACTTCTGGAGACTATTTACATATATTCAATCACCCTCAAAATGGCACATCTGTCCCTTTAATTTTGCTGAATTTATAGCACGTGTTTAGGAATAGGAATAAGATTTTGGAAAGAGAAATTGGCAATAGGTTTATACTATTAATTTACGTAAAGTCTGTCGTTACAATGGTTTTTGATTGGATAGAATATCTAGTGACTTCATCAGGTTGAAGTTCAAATATCTGTAATCATATATTAGATGAATGCTGATTAATTATTCTAAATGAAGATGAAAGGACGCCGACAATAGAACCTAATCGTGGAAATCATCATTACTAATTGATATATACTGATTAGATGCTTAATTAAGCTTCTAATTGTCCACTATTGGATTTTTACTCCTGGGTACCGTTAAACATTTAGTCTACAGAATAAGGATAATGCAGGTTGAAAGTTATTGCTGGGTAATACGAGTGTATGTTGATATGTTAAAGAATAGATATTACCCCTCCCCTTTCACACCTCATCCATATACATACAGCCAGCCTTGTTAATTAATATTTCTCAAGGCTGATATATTTGTGCAAGGCCGTCTAGCTGAGCCATAAGACCAGTAGCGTCTGGCCTCCCTCTCGGACCTGTGATAGGTCTTATATTTTGTTTGCAGTGAAAATCAAGCCCTCTAAATGCCCTCAAGAGTGAAACCTCTCATTGTTGGTCGCCTCCTCAGTATTTTCTTAATACACCCCTGCACAAAATTTCCACTAACCGATCAGGGCCCGCAACTCGCTGTACTAGAAGAAATATGCAGACGAATATCAGCGAGAATTGTTTTTTTTAAGGCAAATGCATTGACAATCGTCTTGTCACGTGGTTACACGCATAATATCAACAACTGATACAAGTATGTTCATTAAAAACTAAAATTAACATTATTTATTCATTTCTTCTTACTAAAAACTTATTATTTTATCTTGTTTATGTCCAAATCGTTTTTCTATGCTGCATTCGACAACTCGTGACAGTTTCCGTGCAGCTGAATCTATCTATGTATACAGTAGAATGATAGTGGACTTTTCTCTATTCCGTTTGACGGGATCCGCGGTGGCTCATTGAGTTGACGCTTGCTCGCTAACCTGTAGGTCCAGGGTTCAATCCCGGCATAGGTCGAGATAATACCTTCGGATTTTTCAACCCGGTTTCCTCCTGTCAGTGATGCAGGTAAGAGGGGATGCGCCCCCTTCCTCCTCGCAGCCCAGAATGCAAGGTTTTCGGGCATGATTCTCATAACTAAATTCGGGCAACCTCAGATATTTCGCCCCCTTCAGACGTCAACCGGGCTCCGCCACTGTCAATAACTGGGCCAAGTTACCCCCTGTTTAGAACAAGACTTTGATTGCTGATTTACCTGTATATAAGTTAACTGCCTACATGCTATACTGTTACCTATCTGTTCAATAACCGCTCTAGAAATTACTAGTTTTTTATTGAACGTTCAGACACCTGTTACATTGTCAACTCTATCGATTTTTCTACGCATGCGTAGTTGTCGTGTGTATCCAGTGTGACTTCGTATTACAAAAGATACTAGTTCTAGTGGTATAAGCAGGTCGCAGTATCAAACGTGGAATAAAACATGGCACAGGATAAGGAAGCCGCTTCCAGGAATTTCTTACGACAGTTTAGGGATATTAATACTAGAGAGTTTAAGAAAATTAGCGCATCTCAGTTTAACGATGTCTGGACTCATTATGATCAAGATGGTAAGACATTTTTTTTTTATTCTGGAGGAATTTCTAACTTTTCAACTATAACATAGTATAAACTATCAAAGAGCGCATCTACTAGAAGGAGTGAGAGAGGGGAGTATACCAGTTTTCTTTCTCGATGGTCAGCGCTATTTTGATCCATATCAATTGTTTGACTTTTTGAAATTTTGATATTAATATTTTAAAGCGGTAATCATTATTTTATTAACTTTATATGCTTATAATCTTTTAAAGAGAAACAGTCCGATTTTCAAAAAGTTTTTACAACACAATATTCAGTTTTAATTGTAGATGAATTTCAAAATGAAAATTGTTGCATTTTCCTTCTTTAACTTTAAAAACAGAAGTTGATAAATTACCAGAGAAACAAAATGTCAATCAAAAATCAAAACCGGAAAAAGAAATAAAAAAGGGAAAGGTTAATTAACAAGAGAGACTCATTGGAAGGAGAAATTTAGAAACTTTATTAATGCTAACTTGTAATGAAGCAACAATTTTCATCTGACAGTGAGGCGATACAATACAATGAGACCAAATCGCTTTATACCTCAAAGTTAGGTGATGTCTGGTGTAGGCCACTCTCTATAATATAACCCAGAGTTAGGTGATGTCTGGTGTTTCTATAAACAGACAACAGTACAATAGTGGATATGACCTAGAGTTAGGTGATGCCTGGTGTTTTATAAACAGACCATATTATAACAGTGGACCACTCTCTAGAGTATAACCCAGAGTTAGGTGATGCCTGGTGTTTTATAAACAGACAATAGTACAACATAGGACCACTCTCTAGAATATAACCCAGAGTTAAGTGATGTCTGATGTTTCTATAAAAAGACCATAGTATAACAGTGGACTATCTGTAGAATATAACCCAGATTGTGGAGACTGCCTGATGCTGTTTAGAAATAAGCCGATTAGTCTGGCAATACCTAGAGGTTATGGTTAAACCATTTAGACTGTATTGGTATTGGTATTGGTATAAGTCAACAGAAATGAATGAATGGAATTTAACGTCCTACTTTTCTGCACTATGTAGGCAAATGAAGACATGCAACACCATGTAGTGGGCAATGAGGGAATTTTTGCCAGGAGAACTTCATATTCCTACTTTTATCTAACTCGCTCTATTGTCCCATCCGTAATAGATGCCTTTACAACGTCAACATCTTTGACATGAATCACTGGCAAGGGGAAACCTGATTGGAAAATCCGAAGCTATCATCTCGACCTTTCTCTACAACTCATTATTTTGAAGTCCACGTTCCAATAAGCAATACAAGTCTGACAGTACGCTGCATCAGATGATTTTTATTTGTTGTCATTATGGCGTGAATAATCGAACTTTGAACTCAGTAGAATGTAAAATAAAACCAACAGCTGACTGTATTTAATGTTTATTCGATTATTATCACATTCTAATACTATACAGGTATATCAGATATAGAGAATCGTAAACAAATGTTTATGTCATATGGAATTTATAAAATGAGTGAATGGAATTAAATAATACATGAACTAATTTGCATATCTATTAACGTGTGCTTCGGATTCATATTGTTTTTATCAACCCGTGTTATGAACCTATGAACAGTACTTGTGTGATAAATAAAATATCGACTTTTGGGTCTTGAGAACAGGCTCTAGCGCAGTTGGTTAGAACATCCTAGTCGGCGCTTGCAAATCCTGTAATAACTTGTCTTTTCCCATTATTCCAGTCGACTTAGCTGTAAATCTGCACGGAATATCCGAGAAAGAGATTTGACCGATTTGGCTGGTAGACAATGAAGATTTTTTCAGACGAGTCGAAATATTTGTTCAGGCTGTGCACTGGACAACTCGATATCTCAACATCTGAGAGTTTATATAACACTAGCCTTATGCTGATTTACTTGCAAAATACTTGTAGTATATTTACTGCAATATAGGGTTCAATACTGTAGGAAGGGACTAACCTCAAAACAAGACCTTGCTAATCAAGCCATTTTTTTTGTAAATTGCAAGGACAGTGCAGATAGATTGTAACCAGTGGTCGCTGCTCATACAAAATGTAACCAGTTTATGAATCATAACCATTAAAATATTTACAATACCGCTCATTGCACACTGCATAAGGTTGATCGCTTTTAATTAACAAGATGCAGACAAGTAGAGAACTCTATTTCATTTAAATTTTCCAGTTTCTCTGTGATGTGAATCTTTCTAAGATGTTTTAAGTCTCATAACCCGATTGAAAGTAACAGTTAGCGTTGAACTATTAAGCTTAAAGGAAGTAATTGTCACCAGGGAGAATCATGAAAGAAATCCGATAAGACCAGAATAATACGTTAATTAATAAAACATCGTTTCAGAGCGTAACAATGATGAGAAATAGAGTTTTACGTATTACTTTTCTGGACCTTACTGCACTGAAAGAAATGACACGGAAGTTTTATTTTTACATTCCTGTACCTGTTTGGAATGTGTTTTGAATGAATTGTAATTAAATTTCCTGCATGTTTATTGTCCAATTAAATCAAGTTTTATGTCCCACTGTTATGTTGAAATAAGAGTTTTATGTCCCACTGTTATGTCGAAATAAGAGTTTTATGTCCCACTGTTATGTCGAAATAAGAGTTTTATGTCCCACTGTTATGTCGAAATAAGAGTTTTATGTTCCACTGTTATGTTGAAATAAGAGTTTTATGTCCCACTGTTATGTTGAAATAAGAGTTTTATGTTCCACTGTTATGTCGAAATAAGAGTTTTATGTCCCACTGTTATGTCGAAATAAGAGTTTTATGTCCCACTGTTATGTTGAAATAAGAGTTTTATGTCCCACTGTTATGTCGAAATAAGAGTTTTATGTCCCACTGTTATGTCGAAATAAGAGTTTTATGTCCCACTGTTATGTCGAAAGAAGAGTTTTATGTCCCACTGTTATGTCGAAATAAGAGTTTTATGTCCCACTGTTATGTTGAAATAAGAGTTTTATGTCCCACTGTTATGTTGAAATAAGAGTTTTATGTCCCACTGTTATGTTGAAATAATAGTTTTATGTCCCACTGTTATGTTGAAATACGAGTTTTATGTCCCACTGTTATGTTGAAATAAGAGTTTTATGTCCCACTGTTATGTCGAAAAACGCAGATTCGTTAAGGAAGAAAATATGAACGGACAAAATGGCGGACAGTCAGTGTGGATAAGATTCGTTCTCACCGATAAGTATGGAGTATAAAAACTCCATTTGGATGGGAAAAATAAAACTGTACATATATCTGGCTGTTTAATATCCACTGACACTCCACAACAGTAGATAATTGAAGAGATCAACACAAAATATTTCATATGTAAATTTTCATTCTAAATCATTACGAAAGAGGTTTACCAATCTTAACAAGAGACACGCATACCGAAAAAGGGAGGGGAAGCGCCAGCCTCCCAACCGAGATCGGGGCTACAAATACGGCGCAAACTGACTCGCTGAATTTAAAATTCGTCAACTATGTGCTCGCATCATATAATGGCAAGACTCTCTTAGAGCGTCTGGGAGGGTTCTCTCAAAAGATTTTTCGAAAAATTTAATTGATTCTGACAATTGATTTCCACCACTGTAAATAGGAACGTTAGGCTATCGGTCTGGTTACAGACAATAATTAGGAAAAGGAAAGCGATGTTGTTGATTACAAAATTACACATTATTAACAAGTTGACTAGAGTTTCACCTATACAGACAGCAAGGTGTGAAATAGTGGAAGAGATGATTACAATCAGAACAGAGAAGAGCTAGAAGTTGTCGAATTGAAGACAATGGTTCACCGTCTAGAATGGAGTGTAAGAAACACTATTAAACAGCAAACAGTAACTTGAGAGAAATAATAAATTTGATATTTTATTGTGATTTGATTTGATTTATAAATTACTGGATATATTGGCTCTTATTTTATTCATCTGAAATCGAATTGAGTTTTACATCCTGTTCTGCTGTACTTAATTGCCTTTTTCATTTTATCATTTTCACCTTTTTTGGCTAATTAATTATGATTCGCAGTTCTTTTTATTGGACTAATAAAGTGGAGTTTTATATCCAATTGTTCTGTACCTTATTGAACTAATGAAATGAAATAGAGTTTTATATCCTACTGTTCTGTACCTTATTGAACTAATGAAATGAAATAGAGTTTTATATCCTACTGTTCTGTATCTTATTGGACTAATGAAATGAAATAGAGTTTTATATCCTACTGTTCTGTATCTTATTGGACTAATAAAATGAAATAGAGTTTTATATCCTACTGTTCCGTATCTTATTGTACTAATGAAATGAAATGGAGTTTTATATCCTACTGTTCTCTATCTTACTGGACTAATGAAATGAAATGGAGTAATATATCCTACTGTTCTGTACCTTATTGAACTAATGAAATGAAATAGAGTTTTATATCCTACTGTTCTGTATCTTATGGTACTAATGAAATGAAACAGAGTTTTATATCCTTCTGTTCTGTATCTTATTGGACTAATGAAATGAAATGGAGTTTTATATCCTACTGTTCTGTATCTTATTGGACTAATAAAATGAAATGGAGTTTTATATCCTACTGTTCTGTATCTTATTGGACTATTGAAATGAAATGGAGTTTTATATCCTACTGTTCTGTATCTTATTGGACTAATGAAATGAAATGGAGTTTTATATCCTACTGATCTGTATCTTATAGGACTAATAAAATAAAATGGTGTTTTATATCCAACTGTTCTGTACCATATTGGACTAATGAAATGAAATAGAGTTTTATATCCTACTGTTCTATATTTTATTGAACTAATGAAATGAAATAGAGTTTTATATCCTACTGTTCTGTATCTTATTGAACTAATGAAATGAAATAGAGGTTTATATCCTACTGTTCTGTATCTTATTGATCGAATGAAATGAAAAAGAGTTTTATATCCTACTGTTTTGTATCTTATTGATCGAATGAAATGAAATAGAGTTTTATATCCTACTGATCTGTATCTTATTGAACTAATGAAATGAAATAGAGTTTTATATCCTACTGTTCTATATCTTATTGAACTAATGAAATGAAATAGAGTTTTATATCCTACTGTTCTATATCTTATTGATCGAATGAAATGAAATAGAGTTTTATATCCTACTGTTCTGTATCTTATGGTACTAATGAAATGAAACAGAGTTTTATATCCTTCTGTTCTGTATCTTATTGTACTAATGAAATGAAATGGAGTTTTACATCCTACTGTTCTGTATCTTATTGTACTAATGAAATGAAACAGACTTTTACATCCTACTGTTCTGTATCTTATTGGACTAATGAAATGAAATAGAGTTTTATATCCTACTGTTCTGTATCTTATTGTACTAATGAAATGAATGGAGTTTTATATCCTACTGTTCTGTATCTTATTGTACTAATGAAATAAAATGGTGTTTTATATCCTACTGTTCTGTATCTTATTTTACTAATGAAATGAATGGAGTTTTATATCCTACTGTTCTGTATCTTATTGTACTAATGAAATGAATGGAGTTTTATATCCTACTGTTCTGTATCTTATTGTACTAATGAAATGAATGGAGTTTTATATCCTACTGTTCTGTATCTTATTGGACTAATGAAATGAAATAGAGTTTTATATCCTACTGTTCTATATCTTATTGGACTAATGAAATGAAATAGAGTTTTATATCCTACTGTTCTATATCTTATTGGACTAATGAAATGAAATAGAGTTTTATATCCTACTGTTCTGTATCTTATTGTACTAATGAAATGAATGGAGTTTTATATCCTACTGTTCTGTATCTTATTGTACTAATGAAATGAAATAGAGTTTTATATCCTACTGTTCTATATCTTATTGGACTAATGAAATGAAATAGAGTTTTATATCCTACTGTTCTATATCTTATTGATCGAATGAAATGAAATAGAGTTTTATATCCTACTGTTCTGTATCTTATTGTACTAATGAAATGAATGGAGTTTTATATCCTACTGTTCTGTATCTTATTGTACTTATGAAATGAATGGAGTTTTATATCCTACTGTTCTATATCTTATTGTACTAATGAAATGAAATAGAGTTTTATATCCTACTGTTCTATATCTTATTGTACTAATGAAATGAAATAGAGTTTTATATCCTACTGTTCTATATCTTATTGTACTAATGAAATGAAATAGAGTTTTATATCCTACTGTTCTGTATCTTATTGTACTAATGAAATAAAATGGTGTTTTATATCCTACTGTTCTGTATCTTATTGGACTAATGAAATGAAATAGAGTTTTATATCCTACTGTTCTGTATCTTATTGTACTAATGAAATGAATGGAGTTTTAGATCCTACTGTTCTGTATCTTATTGTACTAATGAAATGGAATAGAGTTTTATATCCTATTGTTCTGTATCTTATTGTACTAATGAAATGAAATAGAGTTTTATATCCTACTGTTCTATATCTTATTGGACTAATGAAATGAAATAGAGTTTTATATCCTACTGTTCTGTATCTTATTGTACTAATGAAATGAATGGAATTTTATATCCTACTGTTCTGTATCTTATTAGACTAATGAAATGAAATGGAGTTTTATATCCTACTGTTCTGTATCTTATTGTACTAATGAAATGAATGGAGTTTTATATTCTACTATCAATAATCTTATTGGACATTTGATTGAATAAACATCCTACTTCTGTATCATATAAGAATTTACGTCTCCACTGCTAAAAATATATAAAATACGTCCTTTCTCGTGGACAATATTTGAAATATCAAGCCAGCTGAAATCGGTGTTGTAGTCGGTAATAAAATCTGATATTTCGGAAAGGTAGAAACCTTATCAGCTGTAATATAGTTATTGTAAGTAAGGTTTGATAGGAAATAAATTCTTTTAACTTTTAAATTAGAAGGGAATCAATATTTATACCCGCCTTTCTTCATATCCATTAGTCGATTTTTAGATTCTCAAAGATTCTATAATTGAATTCATTCCCTTACAGTATCAATCCAAAAACTCAGACTCGAGCTGTAGCAGTAACTCGGTTTGAGCGTTAGGATTGTTTTGTCTGTACGGATCTTTCGTCAAACGTAAGGCACCTAATTGCAAAGTAGACGACAATCCAATTCGCTACCGACTCATCTATTCCATTGTTCTTGAAGACGACAATCCAACTCCCTATCAACAGAGCTAACAGCGAAATAAAACCAATATTGTTATATTTGTAGGCAATGGTTATATTGAGGGGACAGAATTGGATAATTTTCTGTACGAGCTGGTGACCAGTGTCAATACATTAGATGTTGGACCAGAGGTAAGTAAGTTACTCCACAATCCACAAGTCAAATTCATTTTACCTATCTTCCTAGACTTATCTGTCTTTCAGAAAACGCAAAACTACAATCACAATTATAAGACAAACCAAACGTTTTTACATATAAAGATTGACATTCACTCCAATCTAAGGCTAGATCTCTCTAGACAAATACCTAGTAATGACATTTCAGATTGATACAAAGGTTCCCAAAGGTTTTATCTTCACCAAACCCCGTATAATACGAATCCAACAAAATGTTTTAGACTTTCATTAATGAGTGTATATGATGCCAAATCTCTACAAAACAGCCAATGGCATTAGAATATTGTTTCGTTGTATTTGTCTTATATATCATAAGATGACAGTATCGATTGTCTTACACTGTATTGTGTATGTTAGAAATATAAATCTCGCTAATTGAATTTACAGGATCAAACATGTCGACTTGTTTCATTAAAAAAATGTTTGAAGATGAAATCACGCTATGACAAAATATTAGTATTATTCAACGTCTTTGTGATTAGCGGGAAATAATACCGGCATGGTTTAGTTCAAGATTAAAAAGGAATATAAACACGCGATGTCGCCATTCATTATATAACTGTAAAAATAGGTTATTATTTCACCGTGAAATACGATTATTAAACATCATCGCTATTATAATTGTCACTCAGTCGGAAAACATTCTCCAGTATCAGGTTCTAAAACGGGATTGTTATCATACCAATCTATCGTGTCCAATTAGTAGATTGCAAAGCCGGATTGAAATATGACTTGAACACACCACAAAGAGCATGCTAGAAGATTCTTTAACAAAATGTGGTAAAAATGGGAATGAAGGATACTGTGTATTCAGAATAGAACAAGAACAAACCTAACTATCATATCCAACTAGCTAACATATTGCTTGATGCAATGACAGTTTTCTGTCTGAGACTGAATGAGACTAGAGTACACTAAACTATCGTCTCCAACTAGCTTGCAGATTTTTGTTACAATGATAGTTTTCCAGAATGAGACTAGAACATATCTAACTACCATGTCAAACTAGCTAACAGATTTTACAGTTGGTGGTTTTCGTTGGTCGCAATGGAACCCAAACTATCATGTCTAACTAGATAACTGACATTATGTCAGCTTTAACCTCATGCACAGTTTGAAACCGCGAAACATTGAATTTATCACAGGTTTGACACTATGAAAGGTTTGACACTATGAAAGGTTTGACACTGTAAAAGGTTTGACACTGAAATGTTTGACGTTATTACCTACCCACCAAGCTGTACCTTTATGACCTAGTTTATTACCACCAGTGATGTGAGATGGTCGATATCGAACCTATATTCTATAGCTGGCAGTTTACCTGTCATTATATTGACACTGTTATAATTTATAACCACTGATATCTAGACGAGGTGGAATTTATAATAAATATCTGACATGTTAGGAATCAAAATTACAAAATTTTATTGATTTTCATTTTTTTCTTTTTATTGATTTTTGATGTAATTTATAATATTAATTTGGGAAGGCTTTAAAATGGAGAGTGACAATGTGGGCGAGGTAGAGATGAAATTATGACATTTCTACCTGAAAAATGTCAGAACGGAAACTTCCATGTTGAAGTGTGATTGAGGTATGACCTCTCATTCTGAATCACTTGGTGTTACAGTTACATCGGATTCGTCAACTTGAAATTTCATTCGGAGAGTCCACGAAGCTAATAATTTGTTTTGGGGTTTTAGGGATGTCAACTCGGCATCTATTTCAGATAGTTTACATGGGTAATGAGATGAATTTGGTATTTTAGTTTCACCAAGTAACACCACATTGGTGCGTTCACTTATGATACCAACTCTGACAAGCGCGTGGGTATGTTCACATATCTTATGTGTATTTGGTATATTTTATCTTGTTACCTGTGAACCAAGTTGACCATATTGATGTAGTAAATTATTTCAACTAAGCAACATGATCTATCTTATCAGCCTTAACAAATAAATCTACTTCAATGATATTGGGTTTAATATATCGATGTATCGATCTGGTAATATATTGATTGAGACTAGAGCTAGGCTGAGAGAGAATGTCTATTGATCTAGAACTATTGTCTATCAGGTTTATTATAATCACACTTTTTTTAAACTTAACAATCATCATGTCATTACAACTTGTTGGTTTTTGTCTATATCTTTCCGGTCTGTATCATTTCTTATTCTTATTGAGTAGTGACTTCTCAAGCGCCTAATTGAACTTTGTAACTGGGATTGTTAACTCGCTATTCCCATTGGTTGGTGACTTCCCAAAATCTTTCTCAGTCTCTCTGTAACAAGATTTGTTAACTCGTTATTCCATTGGTTGGTGACTTCCCGAAATCTTTCTCGGTAGCTCTGTAACAAGGTTTGTTAACTCGTTATTGCCAATTGGTTGGTGACTTCCCAAAATCTTTCTCAGTCGCTTTGTAACAAGATTTGTTAACTCGTTATTCCATTGGTTGGTGACTTCCAAAAATCTTTCTCCGTCGCTCTGTTACAAGGTTTGTTACTCGTTATTCCATTGGTTGATGACTTCCCAAAATCTTTCTCCGTCGCTCTGTTACAAGGTTTGTTAACTCGTTATTCCATTGGTTGGTGACTTCCCAAAATCTTTCTCAGTCGCTCTGTAACAAGATTTGTTAACTCGTTATTCCATTGGTTGGTGACTTCCAAAGGTTTTTGCAGTCAATTTTCCCGTTGAGTATCTTTACTGATACCATTCTTTGTATTTCCTTGCGTTTGTGAATTCTCGGACACCTTGTACCTTTCAATGACTTGATTCTTCCAATGGCAGAAGGGAAGGCTTACTAATCTTACTAATAGCTGTTGACTCCGTATTCCTTCCTGTGTCGAAATATGACCGTAAATTCCCGAAGTATGGATTGGACAATGACCTTTTCTAAAATCCAGTTCGATGCATTCAATAACCCGAATATTATTTTAGACTGTCCTTACTGTTCACTATAATTTCATCTGGTCGCTGACGGATGTGTAACTGTAATGTGTATCAGAATTTTCATTCGGTAAAAGTTATTCCTGCTGACTATTGTAACTCTTATGTCTTCTCTTCTATCTGTAAAAGTTCTGAAAACATGTCGAGTAATGACGTAAAGTGAGTTATCGCTGATGAAAAACGAGTGTTTGAAACTCACTGACAAGGTAATGACAGGAAAACTTGACACATTCCGGATTAATGTGCGCCAATCGATTTCCCTAATGAAACAAAGAATTACCCATGTCAGTTGAAATCATCGTCACCGGAGGCCAGGGGGAAGGTTGGAAATAGATTCAAAGACTTCCACGTTGTATTGATATCCTGAAACAAATTTGATTGAAATGGGGAAATAACATGTAAGTTTTCAGGACAATCTGAAAGACGTGTGGTTTATAGAAGTGCCACGCTAGGTTATTTTCTAGAGAGCGATGTACCGCTGTTTTACTGTATATTATTTAGTTGTGGGTGTGGTCCACAGTTGTACTATAATTGTACGAAGTAAACAAAGGGGTGTTTTTGGAGTGGTTCACTGTGTAACACAGCTCTACCCCCATCCAGAATATTTTGAAAGTCGGAGTCATTGGAAATATACTGTCTATCTACTTCTCTAGTTTGGTTTCTACTCGATCCATATCGTCTGTTAACAATAAAGTGCCGTCTGGTGTCGAAGTAATGGCGGTTTCTTATCTTCAATGTCTGATCAAGAACTTCCGGTATAAATTAATGGCTTTTGATTTTATGAACAGTTACTTAGCAACCTTTCCTTATCGTATTCTAAATGAACACATAAATTCCTCATAAAATTCTACAGATTTATGAACGTGTTTATTGTCAGCTCACTACTATGATGAAAATTTTGCGTTTACTATACTGTCCTTATATCTATTTCAATATACGTGACTGTGAGGGTAGACTATGTCGTAAGGTATCTCTGGTTTATTAGACAAAGGTCTTGTGTCATTGTGATATACGTATACTAAACTCATGGATTTGAAAATATCTCACTTCCCTCTGAATGAAATATGACAGTTCACTTTTCTACGTGTCTTCTTCTGAAGTCTGAAATTAACATAAAAACAGCAATATTTTAGGTTCGTGTGTCTTGAATAACTTGACTCATAACTTCCTGATATTTCAATCGCTCGAATGCACCTCGAAATGTATACAATACAATTAAATTGAATATTAAACAGAAATAACGACCGCTACCAGCTGTACACATTACATGTCAAAATAATATTGATTATATTACGAATCATTTTACACTTTTAGTCTAGGTATTAACTAGTCCAAAACATATGTCTCTATCCCAACATCTGATAGCTATCACCGTAACTTTAGTTTGGTTAGTATCATGTGACTTTGTGAATCTTGAACTGCGGAAATCCCCAAAAAACAGAGCATAGTTTTTTTGGCTCTACACCAGTCGACAACTTTCAAAAAATCTCTCAGAGGTTGGAAAAGAGACAGATGTTTCGGTCTATGTATTAACATGTATGCAGGAAACCAATATTAACTAGGTTGGTGCGTTGGCCAAAGCGTTTTCATATTTATTGATCGGAACACCTGATACGTTTATGGGACTGGTTTTGACAATTTTACACCTCAAAAACTCTTTCAGAGAGTCCACATAGCTAACATTGTTTAAATTATATATAGGCTGTTTCAACTCTGCATTCCTTTCAGAGCGTCCACATAGCTAATATTAGTTATATTGAGAGTCCACATTGTTTATTGAGTATATCTCTGGAATGGCAGACACTGTCCCAACCCTAGTCTGTAATATCCTGGCGTACCTAGGTCACTGTTGAGTTGCTAATGAAAGAAATAATTTGATTTCCGATATTAAAATTGATTTGTCGGCAGCTGGTCTGTTGAAGGAAAGATAACACGAGTTGTTCAGATATCACTAATTATTATAATACTAGCTACAAATTAATCAGTTGTTTGTCTCTTAATGTATTTTA